TGAGGAAATGTAATGTCAGCACTTCAATTAGGAGTGAACTGAAAACACCTTTGATATTCCACACACTAGACATAAGTTTATTTTATTCTCTCTGTGTATTGAGTTAACAGCTTTTGTGACACTTCTTTCCCAGAGTTGAAAGGAACAAGCAGTTACTTAAGGATTTGCCTTCAAAACATAAGCCTTAAAAGCAACTACCTCTGACTCCACTCTATGGCTTCTTATTCTTACTCTGGGTTGAGTGCATACGCACAGGTTTCCAAGAATGCCTTCTATGCCATCTCCTTGGTAGTTTCAGGTGTAAATATGGCATTTGTGTGTAAGTTACCAGATTGGCATTTGTGACAAACCTGTTCCTTTGGTTCCTGCTGGTGCATGCAGTTTCACAAAGCTTGTTTCGTTTTCTAGAAACTCACTTACCAAAAACTGCATTTACATGTAGCATTTGTTTATAGACTTATGCTGACTTTCCAGTCTGATTTTAGAGGATAATTTGACACTTAACATCTTTTTAGAGGTGGTACTTTAGAGACCAGTAAATAAACCAAAGCAATTTCTAATAATGTTCTTTCAAAATTGTTCAAAATTCATAGAAGTGATCTTTGGAATGGAATCCTTTTCACTAAGACAGTTTCACTATGAAATCTCTGCCTAAGAAAGGGCAATGACCTATATGAAGATAATAGCAACTGAACTGTATTTTTAATAGAACATTATGGAAGAATTACAAAATTACTTTTGGTTGCGAGAAGGGCTATTGTGTTTTTAAAGCTGTCAGCCTTAAATGGACTGTGGGAGAGGAGAACACTTCGGCACATTTACAGCATTTGGCAGTTAACAGATAGTATTTGTTTTACTCCTGCATATTTTTGTTAAATGTATCTCTTGTCTTAGGCTAGATGTACTGAGTGCCTTTACATAAAACCTTGAGATTTTAAAAGTATGTCTATTAGTCTGAGTACTTATTTCTTTTTTATTTTTTCCCCCTTCTTTTATTTAAAAAAAAAAAATTTGGTCCTAGGCTGCTTATAGCAAACTGTGAATGAACTGGAAAACTAACTTCACTTAAATAATTTCTTGATAACCCTTATGGATCCATATGGACTTGGAGGTTTGTAATTCCTAAAACTTTACTGCTCATGTTCTTAAAGCAGAACTACAAATTTTTGTTTTCAGTTTATTTGGCTTAAAACGAAGTACCTTTGTAGACTTAAACCCCAAGATTTTTCATGGGACTTGTATGTTGCCTTTTTATTCCCAAACATGTCCTGCGTTGTCATCATCCGACATGAAGGTAACGGTTTTTAGGTTTAGAATTTTTTTTTGCTTTGGGTTTTTTCCTCAAAGGGTATGGTGTGTTACAATAAAAATCCCAATATTTTCCTAATGTTAAGTTTTGCTATTAGTCTCATGATGTACAGAAATGTTCTCATAGAGCAACAGACAGAGGAGAGTAGCTTTTGAGGTACTTCTGGGAAAAGCTGCTGTTATAAAACTTAGGATAGAAGGGTTCTTAGCAGAACATTTGTTCCCTTGTCTGTTAAGAGATGTTCATACTTTTTAGTAGTCAAAACCGGCAGTAGATTCATCTTGTCCCTCACAAACCCCATGTTGATTTTCTTCTCCTGCAATTGAGAAAACAAAGTATCCTTGGACTAACTGAATTGTGCTGTTTCTGTTTGCATTGGTGGCTCTCTGCTGGTTTATAATGTAGTGTCTATTTATGTTTCTAAAGAGATTGCATTAAAGAAGATCACCATGGTTTAATTAAGAGCTGTTACTTAAAGGTCTCTTTTCAGTGATCCTGTTGCTTTAAATCTTTCTGAAATTGGAGAGCAGATTCTTGAAGAGCTGACTTGTAGTGCTTATTTGAAACCTTACTTATCCTTGTGGAAAAGAAACTGTTTTGAGAGACTCGGAACATTTTGAAAACCTCACTAAATGTTGTGCTGACATGCAAGTCTTTTGTGCCAAGTTTCTCAGCTGAATTGTCTGGTGACTCTGACTTTTGCCTGCCACATATTACACAGAGTTTCTGTGAAGTAAAACAGCCAGGGCTGAGAGAAAAATAGGAAATCATAGATAAAAATGTATGCTCCTTAGCAACCAATTGCTACAGTTTTATTGATCCCTAGTGGTAAAAATTTAGGAATGGATTCTCTTCATTTGCATTCTAACCTTCCAAATCTTAGTATTCAATTTGCCTGGAGCTTTTAATTTTATCTCCCTCTGTTTTCCCAGGAAAACTAAATTCTCACTTCAAAACATATTTGAGGATAACATTAGTGCAATTCCAGGAACTACAGCTGGATTAAAAATACAAGCTTTTGTGAGATTTTTGGTGTATGATGTTACCGTTACTTGGCTTGGTTTTTTTCCTGCTTTGTGTGCTGGGAGTGAATGTAGGCCATGATTTTAACATTGCATTGAGAGAACATGATACTGGGCTGTGTGAATATGACCCAGGTAATAAAAGGCTGGAACGTTTTATAAAGTTTTTGGGTTTAAAAAAAACCCAAAAGAATCCAATTATAGGATACTGACCATTTTTCTGGTTTTAGCGGCTTGTTCGAGTGATTTTGCTTCACACATGTCAAGAGCAAACAGCACTTTGCAGTTAAATGATACTCGGGCTCAGCACTTTCCTTAAAGAGGGGTTGGGGAGAGGTTAGTTTATTTCTTTATTTCTTTCTCTATGATTCTGTGAACAAGTCCAAGCTTCTGAGAGGCAAATCGAAACATCTTAGACGTCACAGTTTTATGATTAATCCAGTGCAAGTCAGTGCTGCTGCTGAAAGGGACACACTGCTGCTGCTTTTGTGCTGACACAGGGCATCACTGGAGAACTGCTGTGGTTGAACACTAAGCAGTCTCTGCCAGGTTAGCGTTCAGCCGGAGCAATTCCTTGTTCCACTTCATTACGTGGTTGCACGAACTGTAGTTCGGGCCAGAAGTGAAGGTGGAAGGGAGTATGAGAAAGGATGTTTTAAGGAAAGCACCAGTTAATATAAGATGAAGTGGAGACATTACCCTTGTAGTTCATGCTGACTTGCTTACCTGTAAGGGGCTTTATCACTGCTTCATGTTTTTTCAGTAAAAAAGGGTAAACTGGTGCAAGTTCTGTACCTAAGAGTGATTCAGAAGCTTCACACGTAGCTACGGCTCTGGAGTAAATTTCTCATCCCTCAGGGGACCTAGGCACTGAACACCTGACAAATAAACCTTTTCTCGTTCCTATTGATATAGGATCCATATGTTTTAGACCTGAAAGTTTAGTCGTGTAAATAACTGTCCCATGGCTTTCTCCATTCCAGCGTAGCCAAATATTTCTGTGTCTCTTCCCCAGAATCTGTTTATGGATTGCCCTACAAAAGCTGTTAGCCAATGGGTTTATAGAACATTGTAGTGATGGTATGAAAAACACTGTGGAAAAATATTTTAAAAGGAGTAAATGCTCTCCTTTTGTTTTGGATAGGATTTGGAAAGGATTTGCCGTTTCAGTGTTAGAAAATAAAATACGGAGTTAGTTGAAGTATAGAGGTATTACAAAATTGCATTAAGTTACTTCTCCCTGCTTTGATCTCATGCTACAATACATTGCTATATAGTGGTTGGCAATAAGTTCCATAATCTTAGGCTAAAATTTCTGAGTAAATATACAGGATGAAAAACTGATTTTTTGCTCAGCCGAGTACTGTGTACAGTTTTGATAGCAAGCTTTAGATGTCTTGTAAACCATGGAGATGGAAAATACCTTTAAAGTATAATTTCAGTAATAAAGAGCAGGATAAGGACAGGAGGATAAACCAGGTTTATACTGCATCCACCAAGCCACCTTTCTGTTAGCAGGGGCCAGTGCTTCTGCAGTTATCAGACAGGGCATTCTAAAGACAAGAAGTGTCTCAGTTTTGGTGCAGTTATTACTTGGTTATACCCATGAACCACCACTCCTTGGCAGGTGGGACCTTGGCAGTTGTGGCGGGCTTGTTTTCAAAGATGAGAACCAGATTTCCATTATTCATTAGCTTTTTAGATGGTAGCCATAGAAGTCTGGTGATGGAAGCAAGGAGAGCTAAAAGAAGGTGGCCCCTTGCTTCCTGCAGGGGTATAACAGTATTCAAGTTCATTGCTTGGCTACTGCTGTGTAAATATTTCTCACTCATCTTTTAAAAATGCAAGTATTTCATGAGAATCAGGTACTTGAAATTGTTCCTGTGGTAACTGAGCATAGTCTGTCAGCTAGTTTTGCTCTTACTAGAAACTTGCATTTCTCTACTTTCATATCATATGCGCAGTGAACATTGCTGGTGTTGGGAGAACAACTCTTTCCAGATATGGAATGTGCAGCTGAGCAGTGATGTGTATTGCCTGATCAGCTGATGAAATGTGGGCTTGGATGTGTGATTTTTTTTAAATGATTTCCAGATGTTACAGTTGCCGGCTGTATGTCTCAAGACTGCACTGTTAGGTCTAGGTTATAAAACAAAATGGATGAAATGTGCAGAAGATAAAGGAGTGAGCCTGTGCTTGCAATTGTTCTTTCTCAAAAAAAAGCACAAAAAAAAGCAACATGATCCGGTAATCAAATTGCTCACAAGCAATGGCAGAAAAATATAGATGCTTTTAGATTGGGCACTGATTTACCTTATAGCCTCTGAGGAGCTTGAATAGTCTAATAGCTAACACGAAGCAATTTTCTGCATAGCTGCAGTGTTAGGAGCCTTGAGTTGTTCTTTATCTCTCATAAACTTCCATGTGCTATAACATGGTAATTATGGTGCTACAACTGAAATCTGGTAACAACAATATCTTTTTTTGAGCAGCAAAAAGTCAAGGTTTGCTTTGGAGTTTCCCGAGAATTTTCACAAACTCTCTATGTAGGAAATCTTCTATTTGCAAAAATTTCTTCAAAAGTTTTAAATCCTTATACTTGTTGAGGAAGGGGGTTAGGTTTGAAGGCAAGTGTTTGATTTCTTCCTCTTTATTTTCCCCAGGAAATACTGACATGACCATGATAGAAGACAAAGGTCCACGAGTGGCTGACTATTTCGTGGTGGCAGGGCTCACAGACACAGATACGGCAACGCTCCTGGACCAAGAAATAAGCCGACATGAAACAAAGTCAACTGGTCCAAAGGCTCCGATCACTGACATTGCTGTGATAATTAAATCAGCTGGTGAAACTGTCCCAGAGGGATACACCTGTGTTGAAGCCACCCCTACAGCCCTTCAAGCCAACTTAAACTATGGAAGTCTAAAGAGTCCTGAACTTTTTCTTTGCTACAAGAGAGGCCGGGACAAACCACCTCTTACTGACATCGGGTGAGATTTCTTTTCCACTTCAGTTCCTCCTTCAGTGATGATAAAATCTTCCTCTTCACAGATGATGATGAAGAGAGATGTGAGAACTTTTTAAAAACATGGTGTTTGTATTGCTTATTGTGGACTTTGTATAGTATTTTGTTTCTGGAATAGGTAGAACAAAATGTAAGTCTTCTACTGAACTTGCTTTTTAAAGTCAATTACAATGTTTTAGTTTAAAAGATATGAGACAAATATATATATATGCAGAGAGAGGTGAAGCAAATCAAATACAAGAAGTTAAGTTCTCTGCTGCAGTTTTATGAAAGGTAAGAAAATAGCACAAAATTAATTTATAGAAATGGTGTAGTCCGAATCCAGGGATATGTACATGCCTAATCTGAAGATGATGATGACTTCAGTAGACAAAAACTATCACTTTGCAGAATTCATTTAATGCTTAAGGTAAAATATATAACTTAAAAATGGGAGGACTAAAACAAAGATCCTAAAGTTATCCAACTACCTAGAACTTTGCAGCCTGCCTTACTGCAAGATCAGAGTATTTATGAAATTGCTTGCAAGTTCTGAAGTGATTGGCTGCAAATATTAGATTATGTAGTCTCTTGGTAATTTTAATCATGCTTGTATATCAAAATGCACACTTTTAGATGTCTGAAGCATAAGTTCCTGAAGAGTTATTAGTACTGTGTTTGAAAACCTTAGATAGTCAAGGCTTTAAGTTTGATGCTTAATAAATGCCGGGAGAAACCTGGCAGGGAATCTCTGAACTAATCCTGTTAGTTACAGGATACTGAATCTAAGTATTCAGGCCCAAGATCATGGAATCCCCCAAGGTCTTGAGCTGGTGAATATCATAGTCTGTGCTATTAGCATAGTAGTGGTGCTTAATATGTAGTAACTCCTGCAGCATGACAGTCTGCTCTAAATTGCTCTATATAGCACTTCTACTTCTCTGATTTGGTTAAGGACATTGTAGCACTACTGGGGATGTAGTGAGAAAGAGAAAAGAGTGCATGGGTGGAGGGAGCTGTTAGGATTATGGCAAAGTAAGGAATGTGTGTGTTTTTCCTTAGTTATTAAATAAATAGTAAAGAGTAAAGTAAAAATCGTGCATCTATATGTAAGCTCAAACAAGTTTAATTCATTTAATGTACTGTCTTGAACACATTGAGCATAAAGTCTCCATACCCTGTTTTTTTAGCTTTAGTTTGAGTGCCAGCTGACAAGCAGGGTCCAGTCAGGAGGAGACTGGTAGTGAAATCTTAGTAATGAAATTAGGTACATGGAAAGCCACTTTGCTCTAAGGTTCAAGTTGTAAAATTAACCTGGTACATTCTAATGTATGTTCATCTTGGTCATCTAAACTATGTTCTAATAGTCTTCAGTGAAATTGTGTTTTAAAATAATCTTTTCCCGTGTGTGTGTCTGACACTGCAGGAAGAGATAATGCAGTGTGAAGTTAATCTTTAAATAATTTGTCAAACTTCAGTAAGTTCTGGCAGAAGGAAAAGTTTCTACAGGGAGCAGTTCCTCAAAAGGAATTCTTGGACAATCAGCCTTCAGCATATGCCTTTAAGGAAGCAGCTTGGCTAGCGCACATTTATTTTCCTGTCTCCCTCAACCTTAGGAATGCTTTGGTAGATTTTGTAGGGAATACCCACTAAACAGTTGTCTAAGATGGTGGTATTTGGTAAGTAGTATTTATTCTGTATTTTATTGTACACAGATCCAGTTAGGGTGTCATTTCTAACACATCATGGCAGGCTTTTCTCTCTGAGCAACGATGCGTATTTTCCCCCGCTGTTCCTCCTGTTTTGCAGCTATGTGCAAGAGATGGTTAGAGCAATCTTTTTTTTTTTCTTTTTTGTGAATTCCAGTGTGTTGAAATGAAAGTGGAGTTTGGGCAAGAGATATACGTGCAGCCTGAAGGCTAATTTATGAGGTTCTCTATTCTTTTAATGAAAGATCCAAATATGAAAGAATATTTTGTCTTTGAGCCTGTCTGACATGCTGAGTGAACTTAGTAGGTAGAGGAGGAGTACATCTCTTGAAAGGGTCAAATGTATAGTCTTGAATCAAGGCGGTTAGTATGTACATAAAGTTGAGATATCTTGTAGTCCAGGCATTCAACTGATTCTTAATAAATGTTGGTGTGTATCTGTGTATTTCTATCAGTGCTATTTTTAGGCAAAGTAGTTAAACAAATACTGTTTGCAGAAGAGGGTGATGGGGGTATGCTCTACTATTTCCCTGCCATTGTCCTTGTGTTCTGCATTTCTGTGCCCTCTGTCCTCTTTCCTGCCAATTTGTCTGCTGGGTCATAAATTGACGTGTCTGTAAGCTGCTAGAGTGATTTCCTGCTTACTTGCATATAGTTAGGCCATGTGCCAAACTATCCAAGTGTGGATGTTACATTTCCTGAAATAAATTGGATTAATTAGTTGGAAAAAATATTAGTTGGAAATTAGTTGGAAAGATAAAGGCTTGATCCTGGGATGAGAGATCTCTAAGATACTTTTCCTACATGTAGCTGTAAAATTCAGTATCTTAAGCCTATATGTCTATGAAATAATTTGGCTACTGTCATTCTGTTGCTTTCCTAACCAATGTTTTTGCTGATGAACCAGAAATAGGCAAAACCTGAGATTTGAGATTTGCTTTGGTTTAGATGCAGTGAGACTTTGGGAAAAAACCTCACCTTTCTTTGTTTTACATTTGCATTAGGAATGCACTACAGCTCCAGCACTCTTTTCTTGAATGAAGAAAACCTGACAGAAAAATGTTCTTCAAGTAGTTTTGTGATTTGTAACACTTAGAACAGAAAGGACCAAAGAAAGAATATCAAACTTCTTCTCTGAGGCAGAGGTTCTTGTATTACTGAGTAATCCAAGATTTAAGTAACTTGTGTTGTGTGAAATATTAGTTTATTTTTTCAACCTTTAAAAAAAATTAGTATGGGAAGCTTTAGTTTGCTTTGTGGTTCTGTGCTAAGGACCCTTGTGATTCTGCATACCTGATTTCTGAAAACACCTGCAGAAGTATCAATTGAAGGAGTGCTTTTCTTTGCTACAGATGTATTTCAAAAAAGAAAGTGAACTCAAATTTCAAGAAGCATAATATAAACTAGAAGATGTTCCTAACAGGCAATGTCTTCCATTGTTTCTTGAGTCCCACCAGTGCCACAACTGCAGTTGGGTGTTTGGAGTAGCTTAGGGTAATAATGATGAAACTAATTGCTTGCTTGTTTAGACAAATAGTAATAGTGGTGGCAGTAGAAATAAAAGGTAAGTCAGTCTTTTCCCTTGGCTTCACCTATCACTTCTTTGACCCTCCTACTGCCTAGTATATTCATTTTAGTTTCTTCATTATTTAATACTTGCATGCCTACTTATTTTAAATGAGAGAGGAAGAGATACAAAGGCTTACTTTGCATAAGAGCTGTGAGAGGCAGAAATATGGTTGTACCTAAAGGAGGAGTCAAGCTGGACAGCATCCCCAGACACAATACAGTTTGCAGCAGTCTGCCTGTTTTGAAATGGTTTTCCAGAATCAAAGCTTTCTGTGGTGTAAGGTTTTTTAACTCAACAGCCACAAGAAGGTAGTAGTTCTTTCGAATATCTGCTGTCTGATGTCTTGATACCTTTGAATCAGTAAATCTGGTCATGAGCCAACTTCCACGTACAGTGTCAAACAGCTCTCCAAAGAGACTGTAAGATTCTTTTGGTCTTTCTTACAAAGAAAGGACCTAACATCTGGAGGAAACGATTTTACATTTTGCTTGAAAGAAAACTGTATTCAAGTTGATAGACTAATATAGCAGATAAGGTGTACTTAGGATCGGGGCCAAACTATAAGCTTAGAGAAGCCGGAAACAAGTCTAACCCTGATCAGTAGTAATTAATTGAGGGCAGACAGTGGGAAGTTGAAACAAGCAGGTGTAAACTTAGGCTGTCAGGGAGGACATTATACACAGGGTGTTGTGTCCAGTATTTCATGCATCACTTCTGAAGGCTTTTCTCTGAATCATTAAAACCATTGTTTCATTTGAGTGATTGATGGGAGGTGGTTTTGGTCTGTTTGCTTGCAAATACAGTACCATGCTGTAAATTCAGTTCCATGCATGAGGTCAGGAAATGGTGTGGGTTTAATAATACTTCTCTAGTGCATATGTAGGGGTGAGTGTTGCTTTCATTTTCATTTTGCTTTTGATGAGAAGTGACCTCACTGTTGTGGTGTAGGACATTGGTCAGGCTCTTATCTCTTAGAAGTGTTTGCACAACTGAAAAATTCTTCATTCATGTTTTTCTGCAAATATTTGTAAACTTATTAAACTGAACTGTTGGAATTGTCTGATTAATGTCATGTTCCTTCTCCAGAGCTGTCACTTGACATATGTTTCTGGAATAAAATTATACTCTTGGACTTTATTTAAAATACATGAAATTGAAATAAAACTGAACTGAAACTTCTACTGGGGATTTGCTCTCTTAATATTCTCTTCTGGTTAGTGTAAGGCAGTAATGTGAAGAGTCATGTAAACTTTGTATGTGCAATGAAGGTAGCAAAAAAAAGAAAGAGCAGAATACATGTTCTTCCAGAACATTACTTAGTTTAAAAGTAATTTAATTAGCATATGCTTTCTCTATATGTGTCTCGAACTATGTTGCAGCTTGGAAATGCTGGTATTAGGCTGATTTTGAGTTTACACATTGTTTTAAATGTAGCAAGTCTGATGATCAGGCTCTTTATAACTGAAACCATTAGTAAAGATTATTATCCTCTGTGAACTAGATGAATAAATTTCCATGCTAACCTGGTAGCCACATCAATATACTCCCAATTCATGGGATTTCTTTGCTTTTTTTAAGTCTTCTAGTGCTGTAGTTTATGTATATTATCAGTACTGTGACAAGAAACACATTTGTTCTGTTGAATCAGAATAAATAGTAGTATTTGCATACTGCAGTTCAAAGGTGGATATAGTATTTAGGCATTTTTGAAAGTTGAATCATTAATCGTTGTTGGATATGAAAAAAGACTTTTCTTTTAGCTTAGGCACGTGACTTTTTAAAGTGTTCAAATCCATACTTATTAGTGGTCTGTCAGACATTCAGCGTAGGGTGTTTTGGGACAGTAAATATGTATTGCCAGGTTATTTTTAATTTTTAAAGTTGTAATGGACTATGTGTGGGAAGCTGTAGGTCACCAAATATGAAGTTCTAATGTCTTTACCTTAATGCTAAATCTTGTAATGATGAGAAATCATTTGAAGGTTGCAAGTACTCTGTACAGGCTGCAGAGAACCAAGCAAGTGGAACCATTGCTTATTTGGGTGTGGAATAGGAGATAAAGCATGCCCTGTAACAGCATCTGTGCATTAAAGATGTGCAGTGATGTGTGTTTAGACTTCCACATTTCTTCTCGTAGTCGCTTCCTAATAGCTTTATCTTTGGAAAAGAAAAGCTTTAGTTCATTTGCTGCAGTGAAGCTGTGAAGGATCTTTCATTTTTTTGCTAAGAATACAGTGGTCTAAACTAATGATCTTGCTAAAAAAAATCCAAGCACCATGCAAATGTTGCTGTAGAGCCATGGAAGATATATTCTGCTTTCTAGGAGTCCAGTCAACTGTAGTTACTATTTCTTCCTTTATTCTGTGGAACAGAGTGTTAGTTTGTCTCTCTGTCCCTTTGCTTTGAGGACTGTTACTCAAACTGTGAGTGTCAATTATTACTGGGCTTGGATTAATGTTTCTTTTGTAAAAATTCATCTAGGAAGCAGATTTCTTTCCAAGGATATTTCTTAACAAAAACCACAAAACAAAGCCCAAAACAACCAACCAAAAAAAAACACACCTGAAAAAGACAAGCTTTAAATGACATACCAGACATTTTAGTCATTAAATTAGGAGGTATGTTTTGTGCAAGCAATTTAGAGTTTGCTATGTATGTATTTTTCATTGATAGTGCAACATTTCTACTAGTTCTACGACTAACTCCTTTTCAGTGTGGCTTGATTTTATTTTTTCCATAACTCTTGATTTGTTCCCACAGAGAATTCATCATAATTTTCAATATTTCTGAGCAGATTCTGCAGCCTCAGATGCTGCATGATGAAAGGCAATACATAAAGTGCACGTTAGAATCGTGCAATGATGACATGGGTTGCTAGTGGATGGGCACTTTCTGTGAATTTGTCCAAGTAAATTCATAGATATTTGAATGCATAGAATTCTTTGTTTTCTTCTTGTCTGCAGAGTTCTGTATGAAGGGAAGGAACGCATCATTGCAGGCTGTGAGGTGATCCAAGCTACTCCTTATGGTCGTTGTGCTAATGTTAACAACAGTTCAGCATCTTCTCAACGGATCTTCATCACATATCGAAGGGCTCCTGCAGTACGACCTCAGAATTCACTGGCAGTGACAGATATCTGTGTTATTGTTACCAGCAAAGGAGAAACCCCTCCTCATACGTTCTGTAAAGTGGATAAGAATTTAAATTGCGGTATGGTGAGTATTTAAAAGGTTGAGTCTTTTCTTTTTTTTTTAACCTCCTTTTTACCTGAGGGAGTAGCTCCTTGAACTGTCCTTAGCACTATTATAAATGTATTCTGTCACTGCATCATCATTCTTTGATTCTGTGTACCATGTGTAAGACTTCAGTTCTGTAGGTTTTGTTGCTTTGGTTTCCTTAATTGTTAGAAATTACTTTTCACACTGATTACTCATGACTTTGGTTTGCATATTCGTGTCTAGGTGCTCTTTAAGAGTAGTACAATGGAATTTTAATTTTACTTTTTTTAAAATTTTCTCTCCCCCACCCTTTGATGGTGCTGACATGCAGGATGAATCAGAAATGCTTTTTTCATAGTTATTAATAATGCCTATGTTACTAAGACATTGTAAGAATGATAATTGCTGCTTACAGTTTCTTTATGTGCTTTTTTTTTAATTTTAATTGACTCGCTTTTATTTAGTCTGTTTTGCGTCTAGTTTGCTCAGGCTGGAGTAAGTGGGGGGTTTTATATGGTAGAGTATTTAGACAAACTGCAAAAATACTATGTCAATAACCAGTTTGTGGGAGTACCATAAAAGCTTCAAGTGATGGTGGTTAGAATTTCACATCTCCTAATGAGGTTCCCATAAAAGTCTACTTTTAAATAACCAAGAAAACGTGAAGCTGCAAATTATCTCCTTCACTTTTGCCTCTTCTTTTGTTGGGATAAGTCAGAGCAGTGTGGTTCTGTGGTTATTTTATGTAAATCCTGTAATCTGTAAAAGATATGAGGAGGGTGAATTCTTGATCTCAAAGTTTACATGCACTCAGCAGCCAGCCAGTCATTTTATGCTGCAATGCTCTTTAATGAAATGTCTGATTTGTTTGGACATGGGAGTGTTTTCAAATGCTTATACTTGATTTGTGATGCCTGTTGTCATCTTTGCTGGTTCTGAGATGAATCTTGTGTCTTCCAGTGGGGTTCCAGTGTATACCTTTGTTACAAGAAGTCTGTGCCAGCTTCTAACTCTTTAGCATATAAAGCTGGTAAGTAATTTTAGCTGACTAAACATGCTAATAGAAGTATTCAAATGGCTTGTTGAAATAAAATAATTTAAAAAGCTTAAGTGCTGCCTGTCAGAATTCTGTTCCTAGAGGATGTCAGTTGAAATCAACTCCTACAATGCTTTCTTGCTTCTCCTCACTTTTTCACAGGGAAAAAAAAACTTCATAGGAATTGGATTGTTCTGTATTATTTTAGTCCTTATCGTGACAGGCTTGGTGGCTTAGGAGCTTTAGTGGAAACACTAGAAAACATTTCAGATGTAACAAAAGACTTCATATTTCTTGTGTTGGTGATGATGGAGAAGGAGTAATTGAGAATATCATTCAGCTTGACTCATATTTCTTTTTATGTCTTAACATCTTTCATTTAATGTGAAAGTTAAATGTGTTTCTTCCCTTCAGTTCCACAACTCTTCTCTTGTTCCTTATTTGAGGAGAGTGAAAAATATTCTGAACAATAAATGACAAATCTGGCTTCTGTAAGTTTTTTAATGCATTGCTACAGATAATGTTTTGTTCCTGAAGAAGTTAAAACTTGCAGAAGAGTTTCTGCTGGGCACTAAGTGCACCAAATTATTTTGAAAGGTGTAAACTACCATGTAAAGTGTAAAGCATAGATAATGAAGTCAGTGTGCCATAAAATAAGCCAGGTGTACAACAATAGTAAACCAGTGCTTCTGTGCATATTTTCTAGCAGCAAGAGTTAGATGTATTTCTGAAAGATGAATAAACAATCTGTTTAAATTGAACATACTGAGCAGCAGAAAATGTGGATAGTCTACTAGTTCATGCTATTTTCAGTGAACATATTACTGCTCTTTTTACAGTAGATAAATTATTGCTTTCTTCATAGGAATTTCTTGGTAATAACATCCATTCCAATTGCACATTTAAGTAGCACAGGTGATTCCCAACTAGTTTGATGTAAAAATCTTTACTATGTACTGGTTTTGAGCAATCAGCAAAAAGGAGTGCTTCAGTATTCATACACTATTTTAAAATGTTACTTGGGTTACTTATTCTGACTGCCAAGTGAGAGACTTTCTTCTTTGCAGATGCAATCTTCAGTTGCAAAGTCCAGATAACCATTAGACTTAGCTATATATTGTGGAAAATATATTGCTTACATTATTTGGGAGTTGGAGAGCAACTGTGCTTACTTTTCCTTTTCCCATTCTTAAGGATTAATTTTCAGATATCCTCAAGAGGACTATGCATCATTCCCACTGTCGCAATCTGTACCTCTCTTCTGCCTTCCTATGGGAGCTACTATTGAGTGCTGGGACCCTCAAACCAAATATCCACTACCCGTGTTCTCAACATTTGTACTGACCTGCTCTTCTGCAGAAAAGGTATGGCTCCATGCTGAGACTAGTTCTTGCTTTTATTTCAGATAGCTGGTATGGAGATAAATAGGGATTGTTTGTTTTGTATTAGAGAAATGCTACAGAATAAATTATTAAATACTTCCCTTATAAAATTGTATTTCTTAAGCCTTCATGTAAACCAAAACAGAAGCTGGAAGAGTATGTGCTGTTTAGTCCCATTTAGGCTGAATCACACACTTAACTAAACTAAAACTCACAGTGCATGGATTTCCCTGTTCTTTCAAGGAAGAGGTTTCTGGGAGTGGAAATGTAGTCTGCATGTTAAAGAGAACTTAACACATATGTTAGCAATGTTAAAGTTGTTAAAGTTTTCACTGGTTACCTTAAAAGCCACTTCTGTGTGAATTTGTTAGTTGGGCTCTGTAGGTGTGAATTGGAGACTAGTTGCCAGAAGACAGGTGGGCAGGGAGAGAAGTATTGCTGAAATGCAGCATGTGAAAGGCTCTAGTGAGTCCCAAGACTAGTGGTCCTGCTGACTTTGCATGAAGTGATAGATGTGGAACACCATCTGTCTGCCACCAGCACACGCAGGCATCAAAATGTATGGCATGACTTGCCCATATGTGGGAAGGCAGTGTCTGCTGTGCACAGACAGGCACTACAGGACTGTAGGTACACTTGATGAAGCAAGGGAGCCCTTGTTAAGGTTGGTCTCCACGCTATTGTTTCAGCTTACCAACTGTGTGTGTGAACTGCATGAGGGAATAAGTGATTGTAGTGTGTGATTATCTCTCTGTGACTAATCAAGAGCAGTTTGGCTCTGTTGGTGATTATAGCTCAGCTTGCATTCTGCCTCACTCCCCTAACAGGGAAATTTGTATACTTTTCCAAAATAGTATTTCTCCAGAAGTGTAATACCTTTTCAAGCAGGGATGCAGTGGCTACTAGTGCTTTTTTTCCCCTGTTCTCCTTTTGCTAAGCTTGCCAGAATAACTCAGTTAAGTATGGAACTCTGGCAAATAAGGAAGGAATATTAGGAAAGGCTGGTATATGTTTAGCTTGCTAAACTGCGTGAAGTCAAAGGTAAAATAATTTTATTGTTTTGTTTGGTAAAGTATTGTGCTTTAATTGCAGCCAGCAACTAAGAACCACACAGCTGCTCACACACTGCCCCCACCAACAGGATGGGGGAGAGAATCAGAAGGGTAACAGCTAAGAAAACTCATGGGTTGAGATAAAGACAGTTTAATAGAGAAAGCAAAAGCTGCACACACAAACAAAGCAAAACAAGGAATTAATACACTTGCTTCCCATAGGCAGGAGGTGTTTAGCCATCTCCAGGAGAGCAGGGCCCATCATGCGTAACGGTTCCTTGGGAAGACAGACGCCATCACTCCAGATGTCCCCCCTTCCTCCTTCTTCCTCCCACTTTATATACTGAGCATGATGTCCTATGGTATGGAATATCCCTTTGGTCAGTTTGGGTCACCTGTCCCAGCTGTGTCTCCTCCCAGTCTCCCATGCATGCCCAGCTTCCTTGCCAGTGTGGCAGTACAGAAAACAGCAAAGGCCTTGACTCTGTGTAAGCTCTGCTCAGCAAGAACAAAAACATCTCTGCGTTATCAACTCTGTTCTGCACAAATCTTAAACATAGTCCTATACAAGCCACTGTGAAGAAAGTTAACTCTACTTCAGCCCAAGAGAGGGACTCAAACCAGCACATAAAGATAGTGGAATTCACTGAACACAGACAGCTACATTTCATGAGGTTTTGGGTTTGGATGGGCTTTTCTCACTCAGACCATTAATGCATTGGGTTTTGTCACAGCATGTTTGGTTCCTTCCCTTTCAATGTACTGAGTATGAATACTTTGTTGAGGAAGGTGCAGTGAAAAAGAGGAACACAGGCTCAGGAGTCCAAAGCATTTTGTTTATAAGGTTGCTTTGTGTATGTTATGTAGATCAAAAGTTGTTTCATAAGCTACCAGCTGAAGTATTATACTGTGTGCACACACCAAAGGTGCTTCAGAAGTTCTAACCCAATCTTGTGTTGAATAGTGGGCCTACTAATCTGTTTTCCTTCATGTTTTAGGTTTATGGTGCTGCTATTCAGTTTTACGAGCCTTATCCCCGGGAGCTGCTAACAGAAAAACAACAATCGCAGTTGGGTCTTCTGACAACTGTAGAGAGGAAAGTGATTACTTCCAAGTCCATCAATTCGAACAAATGCATCTGCCTTCTCTCACGCTGGCCTTTCTTTGAAGCATTTAGAAAATTTCTTATGTTCATCTACAAACTCTCTGTCTCTGGACCTCATCCTCTGCCCATCGAAAAGTATGTAAAGCATTTTTCAAGTCGATTTGGAAATGTAGTTACTAGCTCAAGAACTAATCTGATTTATGCTCACTTAGTTGGTGTAGTTAATCCATCATCTTGCTTGCACTGTTTAGCTTATGTTGTACTGATATAAATTACTGCTGCTCCTGTGACATAGTAGTGGCCCTCGCAGTGCCAGCAAAGTTAACTGGATTTTACTCTGGCTTTTCTGTTAGAATATGTCAAGCCTGTTTACCTTTCTTTTAGCTACATCAAACAGAAAATGGCTGAGCTGTGACACATGCTACATTTGCAGTCCTGCATTTTAGCTTAATAAATATAAGCTCAAGAATGCTGTGCATTAGCAATGAATATCTGTGTCTGTTTCCAAGCACTGCCACTAATGCAGATTGTCTGTGTGTCTATGTAAACTCTGCAGAGGAAGATGCTTTTCCTGGTCCCAAAAGTTTGCTGAAACATGTTGTTACCTTCAAAACTGTTAGAATTCTGGCAGTAAAGTCTGTAGTTTCTCCTAGCTAAGTCTCATTAGAAGCTCTGTAGAACAGGGTTGGGCTGCCTGGGATTTTAAATGGCTTGCCTAAATGGCAGTGTGTTCTTATCTTTTGCTTACATGTCTGCAGCTGCCACTATTAATTTTCATGCATGAGATGTGAGTGAATGGAGCTTCTTTGTTTCAGTTTGCATAAATAGGCTCTTAAACTTACCAAAATGGTAAATAAATCCTAAGAGCCTTTCTAGAACATGGTACCATATTAATTCCAAAATGTGGCTAACATTGTTTTCAGTCCTTTATTACTACCCAGTGCTGATTTTTTAACATCTTCCCTTCTTTGCAGGCATATATCCCATTTTATGCACAATATACCATTCCCTTCACCACAAAGGCCAAGAATTCTTGTGCAGGTAAGCAAAACATTTGCTTCCATTTTTAACTACAGTAATGGCAAACCCTTTTTCTTGCCTTTGTTTTCTTCCTTTATGCCTTTTACTCAGCTTTGAATACCTACCTTCAGGAAGGGAGAGGGGAGGAGATGGGTTGGCCTTCCCTTTCATTGATGTAAACCCAGGACAACTTAGCAGAGGAAACAAACTATGCCAAACTGTGCTGTGGATGGCAGTAGCATCCTACTTGGCCTTCTGGAATTTCTGCCATGCATTACCCATTCATTTTATAGGCACCATTTGCATTAACTCAGTGGTAGGGGTTTTTTCTGTCTTTCTCTCACTTGTCCACTCACTGCTGTGGGTCAGGTTAGTTCCCTGTGGCACTGCCTCTTGTGCTTCCCTAGCAGCAGTTACATGTTCAAAACTGCGTCACAATGTCCTGTAATCCTGAGAATTGTTTCAGTGACTAATCCAGTCTCTGTTCACCTAAGGAATACAAGTCTCAAAGATTGTCTCTGATGCGTGACATTGTGTCTGTCTGCCAGGCAGTTTTTGAGACTGTAGGTGTATGCTTATACTGGAATATTGAATTGTATTGACTTTGGGATTGTCCATGTCAATCACATATGACTTCATGTGTTTCAGCTTTCTGCCCACGATGCATTAATATTGTCACAGCCAGTTTCTACACCATTGCCATTAAGGTATTGTTATTAACGCTTTAAATGTATGCTACTTGAAAAATTCAGAGGCAAATAGGAATCAGTCATAGAAGGAAGGGAAATATTCTTATAAGATTAGTGACATGGGGTTTTGTTTTGATGGTTTTGTTGATTTTGTTTTTTTTTTTGTTTTTTTTGTTTCTTTTTAAGTTAAAAACCGAAACATCCTCCATTTTTATTCTCCCCACCCCAAAACATATTCTTTGTCCTGGAGAATCCCATGTTTAGTCACATCTGTTACACAGGCACTTCTGTGAAAAATCACAACCTGCCACCAAATTGTAAAGTATCATGTAAGCAGTTTTCTAAGGACAGATTTTACACTCCTTTGCTCTGACAGATGTCATTAGAATTTCTAAATGTGTACAGTCCAAACAAATGTAATGGAGTCCAAGACATAGAAACTAAAGGAATGTTGCTGTCAGAATGATGGATTAATTTTACTTGACTCGTGTTAGTATTTGGTACTGTGATTCTAACATCAAATACCTGGATAGTCTAGTTCATGATTTTTGCCTGAAGGGAACCTATCATATGAAGCTGCTGGTGTTATTTGAGTTCGAATTAGTTGTTAAACTCTTAGATTTGTTTTACTGTTATGAAGACAGGATATCTATGCATCAATGAGCAAGAGTGCAGTAAACAACACAAATTCAGCACCAGCATGGTTTCTTTAGCAATAGCATTTGAATTTGGGTTTCTTTGTGGTAGTACAAGTCTCATAATGACATGATAGTTATTACATAGATAAGTAGATATTTAATATGTGATATTATTAGCACTGGGCAGCAAGTTGATCCCAAACAGTTGTCAGAAGTTTGATAGTAGTGACTTCCTGGGTTTTTTTAAACCCTGTAACATTCTTATTTTCTTCCCCCTTCCTATCCACTCCTTAGTGGAGCAAACTTTAGCACTCTGCTCATGAATCTTGGACCAGAAAACTGTGCCACTCTGTTGCTGTTCGTATTACTAGAAGGCAAGATCCTCCTCCATTCTCTTAGACCAGCTGTGTTGACAGGAGTTGCTGAAGCTGTAGTAGCTGTAAGTACAAAGTGTTCTCTACAGCAGTGATATGAATTGGTTTAAACACCACAGTTGTTACAAGCCATTTTTAAGTTAAAATGATTGTACTAAATGATCACTTTTCCCAGCAATGTCATCAGTGCCCTAGCTAGTAACTATTAGAAAGATCATAATGTTTGCATAGCTAGCTAGGAGGTGTGCTGTAAGTAAGTGACGAAACTTGACTTTTTTCTGACAGTGTTCCAAGACTTTTAGCAATTTCATTTCAATGTGCTGCATGCAGCTTCTTGGTTTCTGCTGTACACTATCTGTTGTCTTGTTTTAATGCGTTTATTTAATTTAATTTTTCCTTCAGATGATATTTCCATTTCAGTGGCAATGTCCATATATCCCCCTCTGTCCTTTGTCTCTGGCCACCGTACTCAGTGCACCTCTTCCATTTATTGTTGGAGTTGATTCACGATACTTCGACCTGTATGATCCACCACAGGATATTGTGTGCATTGACTTAGACACAAACATGGTGTACATGTAAGTTCTATGTAGATTTTACGTTTGTCTGTAGATGGAGAGATTGCTGAATTGCTCAGGAGATAAAATTATTAAACTCTGTTTTATCCAATATGGTTTGTTTCTTACTGTCCTCTGTTCTGTTTCTCACTTCTAATGCTTCACAGCAAATTAGAACTTAATAAGTCAGGGATCAACACTTGGTACTTACTATAAAAATGTGATGCAGATGTTGCTATAAATTTAGTAACAATGGTAAGTAACTAGGGAAGGGATCATCCCCCTGTACTTGGCACTGGTGAGGCTGCACTGCAAATCCTGTGCTCAGTTCTCCAGAGGGAGACAGCATTGAAATGCTGGACTGTGTCCAGAGAAGAGCAACAGAGCTGGTGAAGGATCTGCAGCACAAGTCTTATGAGGAGTGGCTGAGGGAGCTGGGGGTGTTTACCCTGGAGAAAAGTAGTTTCAGGGGAGACCTTATCACTCTCCACAACTACCTGAAAGGAGGCTGTAGCCAGGTGGAGGTTGGTCTCTCCTCCCAAATAACAAGCAGCAGGACAGCAGGCTACAGCCTCACATTGCACCAGAGGAGGTTTAAATTGGATAGTAGGAAAACTTTATTCTCCGAAGGTCATGCATCGGAACAGGGTGCCCAGGGAAGTGTCTGAGTCACCAGCCTTGGCAGTGTTTAAAAGATGTGCAGATGTGGTGCTTAGGGACATGGTTTAGTGGTGGTCTTGGCAGTGTTAGGTTAATGGTTGGATTTGATGATCTTAAAGGTCTTTTCCAACCTAAGTGAACACGAATGCTTCAGGACTCTTTATGACAGCTCTTGATGCTGTCTTGCACTTGGACTACTTTGTGTTAGTGTTAGTAAAGAAATTGGTGAGACCAATCAAGCAAAATTTGGTGTCTTCTCTACATTCATTCCAAAATATTTTTACTTAATTATTGTATTTTTAATACTTAAATTGAAGATGTTGCATGAACAGTTTCTTTGCACCTTCTTGAGGTGTGGCTAATTCAGACTAACTCTTCTGGTTTTCTATGCTATCTCCAAATGTGGGTACAAATTAACAGGATCAAAAATTGCATTTTTTCAGGTGTTCAGTTTAGTAACTTTCTTAATTACTTTTCCATTTAAAATTAATTTGATCATAAATTGAAGTATCTAGCTAGTTCAAGACAAGAGTGGTAACCAGTAACTAAAGTGCACATCTTTTGTGCACATATAGTTCTACCTAATCTCATGTCACTTTTTAACTTCTGACTTTTGTTTTTAGTAACTTGAATTAGTCAGTGGAGTGCTTTCTTGATTTTCATTGTCTCAAGAGGACCCTTTCTCTACTGAAGCAAATGTTTTCTTTATGTTACTGGAATGCTGTGTTTTATTAGTAACATAAAGGGTGAAAAATGGAGCAGAGCAGATCATGTTAATTTTTTTATATGTTTTTATCCTTCCCATAGATCCCCATTGAAAACACTTTGAAAAGCATTTTCGTCACTGTATGGCAAAGTATTGTGCCACCAAAAGAATCCTTGTAGGTGTTGTGAAAGAAGAATGTGTTGAAGAAAATCAAGGAAGATAACTTATTTGAGAATGTTTGCAGTGAAAAATTGCTCCATGTTTTTGTTCATAAGTAGAATGGAAGTGGAAGATTGGGTTGCAGAAAAATGGAGATAGAAACTGGAGATTTCACAGGGAGATAAGGGTGTCAAGATTCTCTTGGGGTGACTGCAAAGAAGACCAAGTACAAATGTTACTTGGATTGGCTGTTGAACTAAAAAGTTCCCAGTGGCTGACCTCGTGTGAGGCCTTCCACTGGAAAGTCTTTTGCACCTTTTCTCTTACTGTCTTATAAATCCATTTATCTTTCAATAGTCAAGTATTTCTTTTTGCTGTCTTATGATATGCCAAAAATACTGGAGGCCTTTATTCATTCAGAATCTTCCCTAGTGCCTTTTATTTTCAACTGTCTCTGTGAAAGTAATACTGAAAGCTCATTAAGTAGTGTTTTTAGGGCAAAGACTTGAGAGTTCATTTAATTTTTATCGCAGGATCTTTTCCTTGCATTTTTGGAGTGGCACCACTTATATTGTTTATAGAAATGCCATTATTTAGGGGGAAGAATGGGCAGCAGCATCCATTAAACATACAGTTTTTCTTTAACTCTTGAAAATTTGGCTTCCTTCCTAAGATATTTCTGTGTTGATACCAGTAGATCAAATAATGGAAGAAAGATTTCACAGATGCAAACTGCAAAACCAGGTAGTGACAGTATAAACTTGGATAGTAATAACTGGGTAGGTCTCATGGCCACAAGATTAGTTGTACTCCCTGTAGTAGCAATTCTCCCCCACCTTCTGCCTTCTAGAAAGAGGCATAGGAATTCTTGGGATGTACTCCTTACTCTCCCTCCCTCCCTCTGTGTCTCTGTCTGTCTGTCTGTCTGTCTCTCTCTCTCTCTCTAGCGCTCTCTTTCTCTCTTCTCTCTTCTCTCTCTTTCTCTCTCTCTCCCTCTCTCCCTCTCTCTCTCTTTATATGCAAGTGCTTAAAGAAGATCTGTCATTGTATCCATTGTTCTTCTTAAAGAAGATGAGCGTCCTTTTAGGCAAATTACCCCATTGCTTAATCAACCACATTATTTTCCAACTGTGAACTGAATTCCCAAGTCCCTGTTAGACTGTGATTGAAGATGGGACTGTGAGTTGCCATAGACATGTTCCCATGTACTATATGACCATAAAGTTAATAGACTGAAGTTCCGGCATACTGCAGTAACAGTTTCGTGTTGTATCCAAAACTACCTTTCTTTGTATCAGTAACAGCATGGCAGGTTTATGGTAGAATAGAGTTTGTGTAGTAATCATGTACAGAATAGTGTGCTTAAATTATATTAGCAAGACTGATTAAAAAATCTGAAAGGGAAATCATCTAAAAAGTCTAAACCAAATCTTAATGCAGATGCTGCTTACAGAGTGGAGAAAACTCTACTCATTACTCAATTTATACTGTTCTCTATCTGAGGAAATGAAGGTCTGATTTATGTTACTCCCATCTTTTTATTTTTAAGAAATAGGGACAGTGACAAGGTTTCTTCTCAGAATATTTTTCTAAGGTACTGCCCTCTGAAAGTGAAGCAACACAGGGCTGTTGAAGTTACTCTTTTTTATACTATCTGTGTCTTATATATCCTTTTTCTCTCTCCTGTGTTTTAGATCAGATGATAAGAAGAACACCAACTGGAAGCAGTTTCCTAAGAAGCCATGTAAAAGCCTGCTCAGCACCTTAAAGAAACTGCATCCACAGCTGGCAGCAGGTGAAATAGATAAAATAAAATGAATTATAATTAGTATGTACTTGTAAGGATTTTCTGCTATCACACAGAATGCAATAGTAAACTCTGAATGTCACCTGCTTGTTTCTACCCTTTGGTGTACTAGTGTTAGAATTTTAGTTAGAAAAACGGTTTTACATGAGCAGTCTTCAGAACAGGGAAAACATGGTGTCATGAATGAGTGGTTTAGGTCACTTAAGGAATCATCAGCATAGGTATCAGCAAGGCAGGTTTAATATAAGTCTGTGAAAGTACAGCAAAGTGCAGTAGCAAGGTTCACTCTGTTACTTACTATGTAGACAAAGCACATAAAGAAAATCAGATTAGAATCAATGTAGAATGGTTTTAACAGAGACTGGGAACACAAAGGCACAAGGGTGCAAAGAGCTTAAGGGAGACCCTCCCACTGAGTCAAGAGGTTCAGAGAGGACCCCCTTGCTTTTGAAACTCTTGATGAAGCCTAGCTTCTTCTGAGTCCAAACTTAGCCTTTGACTAAAGGGCTAAGTCCAAACTAAGCCCTGGGTTTATGTCTAAAGGATTTAGCAGTGCTTAATCATTGACTCACTTAACACTTGCAAAATGATTTAATAGGATTTACTATAAGCACAGCAGTAATTATAGATCAATTATAAATTAATTACAGACCTGAAATGGAAATATTCATACTATACCTGCTGTTGGGTGTTGAAATCCATTCACGCTTGCATGCACACAGACACAAAGAGTTATGTACAAAGGTCTGTATACCCATTAGAAATTCACCTCAAGTTCAGTGAGATGTGTCAGATGCCTTGGCAACTCTCAGCAGGTGGCAGGTTGAGCCTCAGGGTGTGAGGGGTTATTAGCCTAGACTCTGTGGGCAATGTTCAGCAGTGTCCTCTGAGTATTGCAAACTGGAGAGCTGCTGAGCTCTGAGAGGGAGGTGCTGTGCAGGCACTGTAGCCCAGAAGAGCTCAAAGGGACTGGCTTAGGACCAGTTTACATAGGGTCACAGGATGATTGGCTTCAGTCTCCATCCTGGAGATTGGTAACTACTGGAATTTTCCTTAAAAGCCCAGTTATATTGTCCCATTCAGGCCGTGCTTCAGGCAAATAGTATCCCAAGGCTATCCATTAGGCAGCTGCTGTTCTTTAGGCAGCAGCAGTTTCTGAGAACAGACACTGTTTCTGATGAGCTCAAGGGGAGCTTAACTGCTCAGGAGTCGTTAATCAAGGCCAAGGCCTAACAATAATTCCTGTGGAGACTAGAGATTGTAGAGCAGCCCGAGAAGGAGTGGGGTGGGGAGGGAAATGCACCACCACACATGGTGCCTGGTGTTTATGTTGATTTGTTACTGGAAAACTACATGCAGTTGGATATAGAGTAACATTAGTTCAGCTGACATCCTGGTTTTATATCCCAGACTGCTGCATGAGTTAGGAAAACTCAGAATAAAGCCTTGAGGTAACCTGCCTTTTATATGGGCCAGTTCAGCTGGAAAATAGTCTCAGGATTTCTAGTGCTTGTCACTTCTGAATATGGGCAAATAGAAAAAATGTTTTGAATGCACTCAATTTTAACAAAGGATTGTCTGTGTTGTTCATTACTAGTTCACAGGAGAACTCAAGAGGGCTCTGCAGTGGAGATGACTCCTATAGAGGCAGATTTCTCCTGGCAGAAGAAGATGATAGAACTCGAGATGGAGATCCAGGAAGCTTTTCTCCGTTTCATGGCATCCATTTTAAAGGGTTACAGAACATTCCTCAAGCCAATCACACAGGCGCCTTCAAATAAAGCCACTGCTGCTGATTCCTTGTTTGATCACCAAGGTGAGGGTGAGGCAAACCAGCTGCTGATAGCATTGGCAGTGTTACAGCTCTAAGGCTGAGGAACTGCATAACTTTGAAAGGTCAAAGTTACCTTTAGTTGTACAATTTGTGACAATATTTAAAATTACAATTGTATCAAGTTGAACTGTTCAAAATTTATTAGAGCACATATATACACATAGAACTGCAGTTTTGCACTAGCTCTGGTATTAGAAAAGCTTTCTTGCAGTAGCATGTTGCCTTCTCTTCATGGCATATTGTGTAAGGATACTTCTTGGGAATGAAAGAGTATTTCTCAATTTGTACAGACCAAAAATGCCAGTAATGGACTTGATAAAAATGGGAAAATAAGGGAGAATGGGACAGAGATGAGAAGTATAACAAAGCATAAAGCAGTAGTCAAAAAATGTCGTTTTCCTCATCACTGTAACTTTTCAGATCTGTTCATGAGTTGAATTGTACATAAAATGTCATAGGTATTCTGTTTCGTGTGTGTTGGTGTTTGGGGTTTTGTTTCATTTTTGAGGGAGTTGATTCTTTTTAAAATTACTGGATGAGAGATTTAAGGAGAGATTTTTTTAGTTAGTGGTTTGGGAAGTCTTAAATATGATCAGGCCCATCACCTCTTAGGATAACATTTTTATTTTAGTACAGTTTTAACTGTTAAATGCTTTTGTACAAGGTCATAATCTTTTTCTGGCGCAAAGAGTCAACAAAGGCAACGAGCATGTTACATAGGTGTGATTGATTGACAAGTATTGTTGACTGTGGTAAAAAAATAGTTCTAAAAAATTTGTTATGTTAATCTTCTGAATGCAAGTAGGTATAAGTAGTTGCTTTTGTTGATAAAGCCAATACTTTGTGTATTAGCATCTTAAATATTTCATTGTATCACTTCGTATGTTAATTTCTTATGGAACTCATAACGGGTGTTTGGTTGTGTATTCCCTTTTTACAACCAGGGTTTTTGAAAAGCAGAGACCGTGCCTATACCAAGTTCTACACACATCTCACCAAAACACAGATATTCAGCCGTTTTATTGAAGAGTGCAGTTTCGTGAGTGACAAGGACACTGGTTTGGCATTTTTTGATGACTGCATAGAAAAGGTGAAAAACATAGTAATGCTGCAAAATTATATGGTCATAGTTTTGTGTGTTGTTGCAGGAAACTTTAAAGCCCTGTTGGATTTCGATCTGTAGGATAATGTGAGATATACCAGTAGCTGACACCTTAGCCAAATGCCACCCATGTCTTCCCTTTAAATGTTAATTATCCTCCATCTAACATGGAATTACTACCAGCCATCGTCTGCATTGTTGTTCTTTTTCACACAAATTCCATTTAAAATATGCTTAGTGCTCCTGCTATGGCCAAAACTGATGTATCTAGCTAAGCTTCCCTTTCATTGCATGCATTTCATAGGAGAAAGAGTGCCTTTTAATTTTTTTTATTGTTATTTTTGTTTTTACTTCTTTGAAGTCTCGTTAGTGTGGTTCTGGTCTGAAGGGATGACAGAGTTTATAGCTTCATCTTTAAAATGCCAAGTTGCAATATGAAAATTGAGGAGCTATAGAATAATATTTATTTTCTAAGTTGTATATGCATCTGTGATTCTTTCTGGGCAGAACCTTTATTTTAATACCAAGTCCTTATAGAATGATTCTTTGATTCTGTATTGATTCCAATCAAATTAACACTTGTAAACAGATGATAAAATACATGTTTAGAGGTTTATTTGCCTTTATTTTACTCTCTGCTGAGTATTGGGTATGCATCTAGAGCCTACTGTGTTAATTCTTGTTTCTGCAGGTTGTCACATTGAAAGTATCCTCAAAACAGCAGTTTCTTTAAAGTAAACTAAATTAAAGCACTTTCTTTTGATGCATTTAAGATTTTGTCTTTACTGGGTAATGTCAGCAGGTTGAAAGCTTGCTGATCGCTGAGTTCTTCACTGAAGTATTTGAAAAAGAGTTTAATTGCTTCTACAGTAGTATGAAAATTTGTGTCCTCTTTAATATTTCAGTAAATGACACAGCCTTATTAGAATTATTGAGGATTTTTTTTTTGAGTTCAGAAGAAACTCTTCATTTTTAAATTTTTTTTTCTCTTTTCCCAGCTCTTTCCAGATAAAGGAACAGAAAAAGGAGAGAAGGTACTTTGTCCATCAGAATGTTCAGGATCATGAAATAAAATGGACAGACAAGGCTGTGGCCTTGATATTTGAGTAACTAGAGCAAATTTAATTTATACAACATACATAATCAAATACATTATATATTAAATATATTTCTACATATTCTAACATAATTAAAGTTAAAAAGAACATTTTGTTGCAATGCCACACTCTGTGCTTAGTGTACAAACTCTGTTTTCAGGTTGATGTAGATTCTGTTGAAGATGCACGGTTGATTGAGCTTGATGAGTCCCAAAAAAGTGAACATACAGTGTTCATAATGCCACCAGAGCCTCCAACTGATGATGGACAGGACCGAGTGCCAAAATACAGGTACAAGTTATACAGACAGAGTGAAACTAGAATGCTTAAGATGTTTAGCAGGGCAGGTGTTTCATGTTGGTGCATTATTTACCTTAAGACAATGTTCTGAGGAACCCTTAAAAAAACACGAACTGGTAAGTTTCTGAAGCTCTACAAGTCAGTGTTTTGTGTGGGTATATTTGAGGGCATGTGGACTTGTTACTAAGTTTTCAGTAACTTCTTGCCAACTTCATAGTGATACTTTTGTAGGTGTATTCAGTGTCTTTCTTCCCGTTTGAGCTATTTATGTGTATTTTGTAGCAAGTGCAGTGCGCTTTGTTGCACATTGGGAATGATGGAGGGCAGGTTATTTGTCTACCCAGTGCTACTGATATGCAGGTGATGAACAAAGAGAACAAAACTTGCACTCCACTTTTCAGATTTCTTGAATTCAGTCTTTTTTCAGCCCTGTGCAGTAAGTGTGGAGTTTCAGACACTCTGGGTATGATTTTCATCTTGCTCTCTCTCAGAGGTCATGAAGGTTCTGTTTTCAGCTGCTGTACTTGTTAATCATCATCTGTGCTTCCCTGGCATTCATGACATGAGCAGCAGCCTGGTTCTTGCTTCCATTGTCTCTGGAGATTTAATGTGCAAGGCATCTTCATATGGTATCTTTGAGAATAAAACTTAAAGAATCTTGCTGTCTCCTTTTTTTGATTCTTTATTCTCTTGTCTGTCAGTTTTGTCTATACCAGTTGTCTTTGGCTTTCCTGCTATAAGCAGGTATGTGACAAGCTTATCTTCTATTTATTTATTTTTTATTCATCTATGTAGCTATAAAAACTTCCCACGGCTAGATCTCAAGCTGTTTGACAGGCCACAGGAACTCAAGCTCTCCTTCAGCAGACACCCAGCTGGAGGCTGCATTTCAAATAGTCCAGCACTCATGGCAAAGAGGACAAAACAGGTCAGATGAGACTCACTAATCACTGTGTGAACACTGAAAGATGTGAAGTTTTCTGTTAAAACTGCAACTACCTATTTATACGATAAATTGATGTTAGAGGTTCGGTCTTTGTAGCTATTCAGAATGAACACATTCAAACAGAAGGAACAGAAGAAAACAGATAAGCAAATTAGCATCTGAGATTACAGTTCATTGTCAAACACATTTTTAAGCTTTAGAATGTAATATAAAACAAAATTAAATGAAAATTAATGCTTTAGCGGGGCAAAAAAAAAAAGATTAACCCTCATGTTAGTTCTTGCTTGCAGAGAGTCGTAGTAATAGAGTGATAAGAAGGAAGCTTCAGTTGCATGTGTGTCCATTGTTATTAAATGCTTACTCTTAAGAAGCCAGTGTCTGAATTAGTAATGACTTCTGGATGCAGGATGTTACGTCTTATGTTTGCTTTTTTATTTATTTTGTTTTATCCTTACAGGAAATAAAAACAGCCCATAAATTAGCCAAGAAGTATTATGTAAGCCCCCCACAGTGGGCCAAGTGTCTCTTGAGTCATAGTTACAGCCTGTGGTTTATTTGTCTGCCAGCCTATGTCAGAGTTGCACATCCCAAGGTCAAAGCACTGCAGCAGGCATATGATGTTCTAATTAAAATGAGGAAAGCCGATGTGGAACCACTAGATGAGGCAAGTGCAAATCAAACAAAGTTACCATGAATATGGAATAGAAAACAAGGTGCAAATAGAGTGTGTTTTGCTGCCACCACCAGGTTAAGAATACTTGTGGTTTGACCTGTTTTAAACCTGTTTTAAAGTGATCTCAAAGAAGTCTGCTTGACTACGGCAACTGGAAATTAATTTCCTTGTAACCCAGCATGGTCTCAGCTGGGTGAAGTACTCCAATTTTGTGTTGCTAGTCTCCTTCCAGATGACTTCAGGAAGGAAATTCTTGAATATCCTTGGTTTTTAAATGCACTTTGAGTTAGTGCTGTGCAGCCTTACTGCACTGGAGGGATGATGGGTTTGTGTGCAGCATACTGTTCTCTCAGTAGTATCCACAGGCACACAACATCAAGTTATCTTGCTTTTCACATGAGTGTTTCCTTATCTCCTTATTTGCAAACAGAAGAGCCAAGTGGGAAAAGAAATGAGCATACTCAACAATGTGGCTCCTGATGTTATTTCAGCTCCTGAGATTTCCTGTTTAATATTTGCTCCCTCTTCTGGCTGTGGAGTGTTATGGACTAAGTAGTTGCTTTCCCTGTTACGTGTGTGGAGGTTGAAAATCAGGGAAGAGCTTAAGGTGTTTCAGAGTTGTTGTCACCAGTCCATTCATGCATTTCTGTAACTTGCCAGGTCTGCTACAGAGTAGTGATGCAGCTCTGTGGACTGTGGGGTCAGCCTGTTCAGGCTGTGAGAGTCCTTTTTGAAATGAAAAATGCTGGAATACAGCCCAACGCCATCACCTACGGTTATTACAATAAGGTAAGGGAGCAATGCCTTTCTTGCTGTTGTCACTCCCAACGTTCTGTTTTAAAGATTGTTTCTTACAGCTCTTCACTTGGATTTGCTGATTCTGGTGGTCAAACAGTTGTTTTGGATGTTCATACAGTTCACTGGATCTACACTGTATGGTTTTACACTGCTAAATTAACATTGCTGTGCTGTTTGACTAACTAAAAATTCTACAGAAATATACATTTACAGTGTTTCCAAGTTTTTGAAATATCTAGTGCTTCCCTGTCAAATACATCTGTTGCAGGGTGTATTCTCTAAGGTAGCAGGATCCAAGGTGAATGAAAGCTGGAGGTTCCTAATCCATCCAAGGATGGATTAGGCTAGTTGAAGTAGCTTCCTCCTCCCTCTTTCTTTCTTCCAAGATCCTGTAATACGCTGATGAGACTTCTTAGTAAATTATGTAAAGTGATGATAAAAGAGGTGCTACCTTGGTCTTTTGTTGGTATCAAAATATATAAATAGGAACAAAATCCTCCTTGTTTATTTAAGGAAATCCTGATCCATTGTTTTTTGTACTCAACTATTGTATGCAGAGCTGTGGGATAAAAGGAAATATGTTTTTTGGTTAAGGGGGAAAAAAGCTTCTCACCATATGTGTTTCTTAGTGTAACTTTCTTACTGTTTTTATTATTGCAATGTCTCTTTCTGTAGGCAGTTTTAGAGTCCTCTTGGCCTAGCAGTAACCGTAGTGGCATATTCCTGTGGACAAAGGTACGAAATGTAGTTCATGGCACAGCACAGTTTAGGCAGTGCTTAAAGAAAGCAACGCAGAACCCACGAGTGCCTGTGATGCCAGGTAATAAGTTAGTTGAAATGGATTTATTTCTGCTGAACAAGAGCATAACATGCTTTCTGATAGATTGCAGCTAACATTGTGGCTTTTAAAAGTGGAAAATCTGTCCTTAAATGTATAAAAATTGGTAATTGCCAACTTGATGCTTGAAACAGTATTAGACTGTGTTTCACAGAGTGAAGAGTTAATTGTCTGAATTCTGTTGCTAGAATTTCATGTTCTTATTTTGTATGTGCAAGCAGAAGTATTTACTGTTGTCTGAAGAGGTTAGATTTGTTTAAAAAGCTGAAAAGTTAAATCCTCTCTTACTAACCAGCTCTCGTTCATGTCTTTAGCTCTGCGGAGTCCCACGGGTGGAAGTGATGGGGACATGGTGAGCCATGGTAGCGTGGATAGTTCTAATGATGCTAACAGTGGGGAGCACACCCTCTTCGTCAGTGACTTAGTCAGGCTTGATTCCATTGATAATCACTCTAGCACAGGTACTAGATTCTGCTGGGTTTCACTACTAACAGTTCCCCAAAAGGCTAAATTTTCTAGTCTCCTGTTGATTTCCCTTCCACAGCTACCACCTTGCCCTCTTGAGGCTGTAGAGAATGAAGCATGGAGTTAACCCCTGTAGAAAAAGAAATACACTGTTGTTGAATATTGCTCCTTTACTGCAGATCATGCTGCTTTAGTTTGGAATGAACCATAGCAGAAGTACAGTTAGATTAAAAGAAATGTCTTGCTGTGGTCTCCTGTACCTCGCTTTTTGTGTTAATCTTCAGAAGGTATGAAACCTCTCACATATGAGGCTGCTGAATTTTTGCATGTTGTTATTTATTCATAGAAGTGATAGCCTGTGTCAGTAAAATCTTTCTCTGCCTTAAAGGAAAGGCGTGATAGTTGCCGAGGTGATTAGAAGGTAACACTTGACAATGTTTCTCCTTGATGATACTCCAGAATGGCCTAGTTAGCATTCATGGAATTACTCTGTTAAGTTTCATTACAGTGAACTGTGCTTTAAAAGACTGTATTTGAATTTCTTAATAGTAGTTGCTAAACTTGGAAATAAATATAGAAATGACCAAAACCTTGTCATACAGTTTTTATGAGACACTGTGGGGTTGGAAAGACAGGTGATAAGATGGAGAAAAACTCTGCCCTAAACATGTTATGCACTCTTCCAGACAAACTGGAGTAAAAAAAGTGCACAGGAAGTTAATCACTTGAGATGTCAAGACAAAATGCATGGTTCTTTGTATCTGCTTTAGTACTGATCACATCCTACCTGTGCACACTCTCAACTAAACTCCTTTCTGTGTGTACTTCAAAACTTAATGTACAAATGGTTCTTGCACACTCTTCATGTTTTTAACACCTTGAGCCCTTCTGTAAGGAGAACTTGACTCTGATTCCTGTGCTTCATCTGATGTGTCTGCCTAGATTACTGAACTTCCCTTCTCTCTGCTCTTCGTTGCTCTGCTTTTTGCTCTTTGCTGTCTCTTGGGTGCCGCATTTGTCCTTGGCTATCACGGTGTGGGGTGCAGACATATGGTGTGAAGCCTTGGATGCACGTGTGCATTATTTCTACCCTTGAATGTTACTTCTGCAGGTAATTCACCTATTTATTGATAGGGTATTTTCACTTCTGTGCAAAGCAGGGATACTAACATTATTGAAATTTTGGTAGGGAGAAGAAAAGGGCCAAAGAATGTCACAATTTAATTTTCTATATAAAAAATTGTAATATGGTAGCCATATGTAATAATCCATGGCTACTCAAACCTTTAATTCTTCTTTTCATGTTTGTTATTTGTTGGTAAAATAAACAGCAGTAATTTGTATGGTAGATAAATTGTGTCTGTCAGTCAAGTTTTATGAAGCTTCCTAACCCCTTTCACACTCAGTAACTTACACTTTGATCTTTTTCTGGTACTGCAATGTATTCTAATAGGTACTTAAAAGCATGCAAACAATCCTGTTTAACATGTTGCTGAGGGATATGTCCCATACAGTATTTTAGTCTTTTTGCATATGCAGCAATACTTCAGATAAGAATAACGGAGAAGAGATAGTCTTTCTGCAGTTTCCTATGGCAGACTTTTTGGACCACTGTAAACTTTTTTTGGTTTTGAGTGAGTGAGTTGCAGCTGTCAAGTTTAATTGGTATTGCAGGGGAACAGGCTTTTAAAATTGTTTACATTTTTTACTTTTTTCCTATTACAATTTACACTTTGCACTCCAGTGCAAAGATACAGCACGGTTTGTGGTTTCAGGGCTGTATTTGTTGTTTGAATCTTGCTCAGTTACTGTTGTGCTTGTCTAAATTTCTTTTGTAGATGCATTTGAGAATTTAGCTTGCCCATCAATTAAGTATTTCATGCTAATAGAAGGAGATAGAGTGCATTAAAAGTAGTTAGTCACCATAGCATTTCTGAGGGAATAACTGGTGTTCAATATTATAATTAGAAGTGTAAATTTGGATTTGTATAACCTAATTATCTCTGCTGTCACCATTGCTGAGCTGATCTGTGTACAAATTGGGTATTTTGAAGATCTTGGTATGAATTTTTGTGGAGAAACAACATGTGAAACAAATCAATTTCAGTTCTACTGTTTTCTTACGAGTTTAGGAAGGAAAACCAAATTTGAAGCATGTGTTTGTATTTCTTCAAACAGGTGGTCAGTCAGACCAGGTTAAGGATGAACTTTTAAGCGATGATGGGGATAGTATTCCTGCAACTGAAACACAAGTAGAGAAATCTGTTTCTTCTAAAGATGAAGACTTACTAGGAGGTTAAGTATGCGTGTTTGCATTGATGAAGGCTTTCAGTAACAAATGTGCTTCATGCATTAGACTACCACAGATACTCAATGTACTCAATTAATAATGTTGCCAAGTTCAAAATATAACTGTATGAAATCTGTTGTACTAGTTCTGTGCCCTAAATAATAGCAGTGAAATACATATAGGTAGAAGTAGCCTTTTATTGGAATAATTTATACAGATGGAAAAATTAGACAAGTGCTGGGGCACCCAGTATTTTGCATTCCATTACTGTCATTTATATGTTTGAAAGCTTGACAGTTTTTTTTGGCTGTACCAGTTGACCTAATAAAAGGCACTACTTTTTCTTACAAACTCTTCTCAGCTATAGATTGGAAGAGTCATCTACGGTCTATCTCTGATCATCTTCTGTCCAAATATTGCCCTTAGTTTTTCTGTATTTTACTGTTTTCATTACTGAATTTATGTGAGTTAGGATTTCTAAAGCTGGCAGTAGACAAATAGTCCCACGTGAAAATCTGCATACCACTGTTCTTGCTCTACTTTGGTTAGCTGAAAAAATATCAAAGGAAAAAATTGGCAAATGCTCTAACCTTGTGAACATTTAAGCACTCTGTGCCTGAGGCTGATGACTGTCATCTCTCTGGGTATTACTTCCAGGAAATACTCAGAACCTAGTAGGTTGTTATTACACAAGGGAACAGTGTTGAGTTTATATTTTATCTAACAATGCAAATGAAATAATTTAGTTTATCAACTGAAGTTCACATTCTCTTTCTTGCAGAGGTTTCTACGGAGCAATCTTATGAAGAGCAACAGCTGAATACAGAAACTCTTAATCCAACTGACCCACCTGCTTGTGGTAACAGTATTGTGAAAGTTCCATCTGGCATTTTTGATAGCAGTGGAAGGAAAAACAGTTGTGGTGAGTCACTAGGTGAAACAGAGCTTGCTTATAGTCCTGATCGTGTTGTGCTATAATGTTTTGCAGTGTTTTGTGTCATGGAAAGAAATAAAACTTCTATTCAAGTTGCAAATGTCTTGTACAACATTTGCTTTCCACCATTATCCTTCGCAGGTGACTTAAAAGGAAACTAACTGGATTTCAACCTCAGGTTGAAAATCACTGTTGAGTAGATTGAAATCAAGGTTTTCCCTGTCCTGCATGGACAGTGTATCAGTAATGTACTAGGAAACAGAATTAGTGTCTCTACTCTTGATTTTGTCACCTAAACCTTGCTGATCTTAGACAAATCTCTTTATTGCTGTGGCTTTCATTGCTGATGTATAATGTGGGAACAATGCATGTTGTCTTTGTGCTGTACAAAGTTCATTTGCTTACCTGGAGATTTATGATGATGAAGACTTAGGGATATATAAAAGCCAAATCTTGGGGCCCCATTTTTTTAATGCCTTTGTGTCTGTCCTTTACTAAGACAAGGTAGTCTATCTTCAATGTATCTTGATAGCAAAGAATTGAGTCTCAGGTAAGAAATTGCACAGAGCCTTTTTGGAAATTAGGAGAAGTCGTGGCTAGCCAAGAAGCATCATCAATGTGAGACTCAAACATCCTCTAGCAGTGGATATGGTACATCGTGTCCTCTGCTGGGATCCTAATATAGTAGAATTTCCATACTCAGGGAGGTTTTTACCTAGCTAACACAGCTGTCTAGGCAATAAATATTCCCAATTCCCCTGAGGAAGTAGGAATATTTATAAGATTGTTTTATATCTTCCGCATGCTAAATTTAATTAGCTGCTTCTACATATATGGCTGTGTCATAAATGAAGTAATTAATCTGTATTGGGCAGGCACACAATGTTTTTTTTTCAGAACCAGAATGAACTATATAGTTTGACGTATAGATTTGTGAATATAGCTCTTGGAAAAAAACCATAACAACTAGAGCAATTTTTACTTAGAACTATACTTTTCTTTAGTTCATGGGTGTAGTACCTACTCTGTGCTGGGTGATGGCCCAGGGAAGGGAGGTTGGAAGCCATAAATGGCTTTGACTCCACAGAGTAGGTAGCTTTTGATCTGCAGAATGCCTTTGCAGCCAGTGAAATAACTTGTTAATGCTAGTGTAACTTCTTAATGCACAACTTGAGACTGTGGCACTCTGTCTTCTCACTAGTAAGGTGACAAAGGAGATTTCACATGATTTCAGGAAATAAACATTTTTGGTGGCTAGAGATACTATACTAATGCATTTTCTCTTTTAGAAACTGTTGCTAGCCCACTGTTCATAGCTCAGGATTCAGTCGAAGATGTAGTCTTTGATGATGTTTCTCTTAAGAGAAGAAGTGAGAAAAGACAGAAGAGACAGAAACTGTTTTCACAGAGAAGCTGCAGTTTCAGCAGTGAAAGCAGAGCTGGAATGCTGCTGAAAAAAGGCAGCTTGGACTTGCATTCTAAAGAAATAGCAATAATGATGGGAGCAGATGCCAAGATCCTAACAGCAGCTTTATCTTCACCCTGTCATATGAATACATCCCACAGCTTTGAAAATACTGTTGACCAGCAGCTTTCTGATATGACTGGCACTTGGAGTTGTGTGACTGAGAGTGATTGGGAATTAGAACACAGGTCTTTACCAGTGCTGGAAGAACCTGGGGAAGGGCAGGAGCATCTAGAGAATGGAAGAGATGAAAACATAACCACAGTGAAAGATGTGAACCTAGAACAGACAGCTGAGTCCAAAAACCAAGAACCAGAATCCAAAGATGCAACTGCTAAAAGGAATAGCTTTTATGGAGTGGTTAAGCCTGTCGAAAGGGAAGATGTTGAAGTAGGCTTGGACCCTTTATCTTTACTGGCTACTGACAGCATGCAACCTAATTATCCAGAACCTGAGGAGAAGTTGGTGTCACCAGTTGTAGCGCGTAATTTGGCAGATGAAATAGAGAGCTACATGAATTTGAAGAACCCACTGGGTAGTAAGTTTCCCAGCATGGAACTGCACAAGCCAGATAAGGAGGCAGAAGTTTCTGGTACACTTGGTCACTCCCAAGAAAGGAGGTCAAGCCTGCCTTTGGATACTGTCCTGCCATCCCCCAAGTCCTATGAAAATCGGAGAAGTCCTGTGTCCAGATCCAAAACATTCACTGGACGATCAAAGCAACAAACACCCCCCCAAGTTCAAAAGGAGAGGTCTTCATCTTTGACAGGACTGGGTCGTTCTTCTCCACATGGCTCATTAGGAACCGTCGTAATGACTTTTTCCAACCTGAAGTTAGACAATATACTGTCTGGGCCAAAAATTGATGTTTTGAAATCAGGCATGAAGCAGGCTGCCAACGTGGCCAGCAAGATGTGGGGAGTGGTAACTTCAGCATATAGTTACTCAGATGATGAGGTAAGTATTTTTCAATATGCAAAGTCTGGGGAGACAAAGGTAGAGAGGTATTTTCTGTGTCCAGAAGATTGCTTCATAAGGAGATGGTTTTTAATAGGTATTGACTTTTATTAGCTAATAAAAGTTATGGTTTATATATGGTGTTTTCCCTTGCCATTAAAAAAAATCACTTTTCACACAAAAGTGAAACAATCTTGATACAGTAATCCTTAAGTTTTTGTTCTCTATGTCCCCTCCATTTATTTATTTATCTGTTTCTCTTTTTTTAATATATTTAAAGAAACTGAGACAACAGACCCTGCTAAGAACAAAATTGCATCACCTTAAATGATACCATACTACCTGTCCTATTTTAAAAAATGAAGGTTATGAAAACAAACCGCAGACCTAAGAATTCAGATTGGGGAGGGTTAAAGTTGAAAGTAATAGCAACAGCATAGAGACTTAGTAAATTTACCGATCAGGAATTTGGAAGGTAGATGTTTTGATTCTTGTGTGATTAACAGAGTCTTTTTGAGAGTAAAACATTTTGGGCTATAATGACAAGAGTGAAAGGAGGTGGAGGGATGAATATTTTAACTTCCTCTGGTCTATATATGTCTTGTTACTGTGCCTTCAATCATTTTTCTCACTTAGGAAGGCTTCTGTGTCCTCCAGTTAACCCCTTGATCTGGTGGTTTTTGTTTCATAGCACATAATTCCATTAATGTGACTTATTTTACTTTTCTTCAAGGATCTTTTAATTCTCTCCTGCTTTTTTTCTTTAACTTACTTTTTTAAAAAGATCTTACTTGTTGTACATTGTCGCATCTTGTGTTTTGGTGACTGTATTAGTGCTGCATCATTTCAGCTGGTGTGTTTCATTCCTGTCTTCAATTCTGAAAATATACCTTTAACTTGGACCTTTGTCCTTATAATTCCTTCATTTTGTATAATGTCTGACAAGTCACAATTTCTGCATCATTTTTCCTATTTCTCCTGTAATGATGTTTATATCCCTGTTGTTTTGTCACTCAGTTTGGTCCTTACCTACAATATTTTCACTGCTAAAGCATTTCATTTTTTCAATATCCTCTTACTTTGTCCAGGATCTGCTCTTTTTGGGGTTACATAGATTTATCTTACATCTAATAAACATTTTACATCAGGTTTTCATCTCAGTCTGCTATTTTAATTAGTTATTTGTTAGAATAAAGATGGAAGTCAAATTGTGGATATGGAAGTACTCAAAAACACTAATTTCCTTCTTGCATTAAAGGAAGAAAGCAATCGACCAGACTTTACCTTTCCTGCGGGTTTTGAAGATAATATTTTAGGAGATAATCTGTCATCAAGAACTGGAGTCCCAGGGCTGATTACAAATGAGCTTGCACAAAGCACTACTAGTCTTGGCAGTAGCAGCAGCAGTGGAGATGCAGGAAGACAGCATTATTGTGCAGGTGAGATAGTTTGGTTTTGTTTTCTCCTCATAACTTGATTATAATACAACAAACAGGGGAAACTTGTATGTGAGATCATTCAGAACAGTGGAAGTTTATGGTAACGTGAAATTATTTCAAGCCCTTAAGAGAATTACAAGCGAATTTTTGCTTCCATTTTAATACTCTTCTCTTGCAGTAGCAAATAGCTAATACTTTTCTCTTTGTTGAATGTATAAAGAGCTGACACAAAATGCAGGAATTTAACCATAAAAATACTTCCTCTGCATATAGGATAATAAGATTCTTAAATAATTATAGCAAGGAACACCTCATTCATGTAAGGTCATAATACCCTGAAGATTGTTGAAATATTGATGCAGAAAAGCTGAGCAGAGTTCAAGAACTGCAAATAGCTGCATAACTAGCAGAGACAGATCTTTTAAAGGGGGAAAAGAAGTAAAGAAATCAAAAACAAGCTAACAAAACCAACTCCATAGCTCCAAGCACACAACTGCCCCCAAAGTGATACACACTAAAGTCTATTCTACTTTACCGTGGAATTGGGGGTGTTGGATACATACTTGAAGTCGTGAAGGTAAATAGTTGATGACTCTATGCTTGTTGTGAAATTGTCCTTCCCTCCCCCTGACAAACTGGATTAACTAAACTTAATAATCTTCAGTTCAGATTTGATTCAGTTGTATTTTGTTCTTACTTGGAGAAAAAGATGTGATACTGAACCAGCTGCAGGGTTGGTTTAGCTCTCTGTGTAGTACTTTAATGGTGCAAATATCATAAAGCCACTTTGCATCAAGAGTGGATGAAGTGTCCTGCAGACTGGAGATAAGCTGGCCCTGTCTTGCAAAATCTTGACAGGATATCTTCTAGTTCCTGTTAGTTAGGACAATTATCGTAATTAATGATAAAGAGTGGCAGCCAACAGGATATGTAAAATTTGTTCAGAGACACAAACCTGAGCTGAAGAAGCAGAGGGACCTTCTTCACGATGAGGGGATTCTGGTAGTCATTTTTTGAACAGGAGAGTTTGTCTGGGCTTGTGAGAAGTAATTCTGATAGTTTTGCCCCCTTAAACTGATTCCAGCCATTTCCTTCTGATAAGTGTGTTCCAACTCCTTTTCCCTTTCTCCGGAACAAAGCTCATAACCCTAAAACCTAGTCTTACCAAAGAAGGGGTATTTATTTTACTGCAGTTTTAGCCAGAGAAATCTTAAGCACAATAACAGCATATTTGGTATCTTGTGTCTCACCTGGTACTATCTTTCTGTTTGCTATTTGCATGTAGATGTGTCATTCAAGAAATCATAACCAGACTTTTAAAGTAGATATATTGAGCCATCTTACTGCACTTTGTCAGTCTTTACTTTTAGTTTGTGTTTGTTTTACTAACCTGTGATGTATTGTGTTAGAAAGATTACCTTGTAATGTTGATCAAAAGCATTACTATTATATTGTAATTATAATGTCAGTGAGTTACAGATGCACATATCTTTGGAGGTCTTCTGGTACAGTTTTCTTGCCTTAATTATATTATATAATGTTAATTACTCATTGCTTGAATACAGGACTCAAACAACTCTTTCTGTACAGGTGAAGCTTCATTCTCCAAAAGTATGAAAGTTCCAGATTCTGAGAAGTCAGAGCACAGCTCTTCACATAATACTAGTTTATCCAGCATTTTCCAGAACTATGCAATGGAGGTAAGATTAATAACTTATAGATGAAAGCTATAATAACTCAGCATTACTGTGTGCATTAATTACCTGTTTGGTTGGATTTTTCAAAACAATTTTTACCATGTTTATGCTGCAGAGGTACTTAATTGTAGCTTAATAGATGCTTCATGTGGCCCAGGGTGAGACAGCAGCTGTAACACTGAGAGGAGCCCACACTGGAGCAGCCTCCTGGAAGGACCTGTGGAGTGAGGAGCCCAGGCTGGAGCAGGATTGCTCTCAGAGTCCCACACCAGAGCAGGCTAGTCCTGAAGGACTGCACCACACCGGAGCAGTTAGTGAAGAACTGCAGTCCATGGGAGGAACTCATGTTGGAGGAGTTTGTGTAGGACTGTCTCCTGTGGACCCCACACTACACTGGAGCAGGGGAAGAGTGTGAGGAAGAAGGAGCATCAGAGAAGACATGTGATGAACTGACCACAATTCCCCTGCTCCAATGTGCT